TGCCCATAAAATGTAGCTACAAGCCTGTTTAGGTAGATGACTCGAAGCTCATTCAAGCCGCTTACTTTTTTGACTTCGATCAAAGAATCACAATGCAACACAACTCAACATTCAGGGATACATGTAACTCAAGAATAAACGATACTTTGAACAAGCGTGTAAGGTTCAGAGTACTAATACGAATCTTGTTGATGAACGAAGACTCTTGAATGGATGAAATGTTCACACTTCTTTTCTTTGCAATTGTGTTTTCAACATCTTACTCATAATCAAAGTTGATTTATAGTTATCAGTTATCGATGTTCTGAATAAACTTTCAAGTTATCACATCAAAGTTCTTCCATTGAAATGTGCTAGCTATTCAACAAAGCATCATTTTGTTCTCATCGAGATTATCAATTGATTATATACTTTGGTCTTGAATATATATTTCTTCCAGTTGGAGGAGTTGTATATTGTGGATAAATAATATGATGGTCACTGAATTCATTTCACTTCATTCTCATACGTAACGGGGTTATCATTCTTTCATGTGTATTCCTTGATAATTATTTCATTAGTTACCTGATAGATGAAGAAACGATGTTTATGATTGAGAGGTTGTGAAGATTTCGTTCATTTCAAAACCCCCATATACTTCTCCAAACACCAAGAAGGCAATTCAGATCACGAACACTAGCAAAATTAACTCCACTTATGTTAACACTCATAAAATTATATCGATGTCGCTAGAATTTCTGATATTGTTTGATCCAAATAATTCTCTTTGGTTCTATTGATGTAGGTGCATCACGAAACAATAATATATGTAGTTGAATCATAATAATATCTCATGATACTCCAGATATGGAGAACATTCATATGCGGAAAGATATTCAACATTATGCTATGTCATTCAATGAAATATTGGTCGATTAAAAATGCCATATTTTTGTAAGTATCCTAGATATGTTTCATTTCGCCAGAATATTTCATGATAGTGGAAGTTTCAGAATTCCAGATTTATCGCAGATATAAATTGCAGAGTGAAATATGGATTTTAAGGTCCATATTGAGGGATAAATAACCATTAACTGAACAGCCATGCAGGTAAAACAAATACAGATACCCTAACACAATGCTATCCTAGTTTCTACCTAAAAGTGTTTTGCTATTATTTTCCGTTTTCTGTCTGTCATTTCCTGTATTTTCGGCATTGCATGTCTGTGAGTCTCTTCTGGAAAGTATAAAAACTTGAATGTGTTGGATGTGTTGCATTTTACTGTCTGTACGATATCCTGGATGTCTATCGTGTTCTCAAACAAAATCCATTCTCTCGCTCATGTTCTCAAGGGAAATTGAAACTTCTATATTTAGATCAATAAATTTTAGATGAAATTCACTGAAAGTTTCATTTACCCAAGTTCGATAAAGAAATGCCAACGGTGAAGACGTGATACCTATATATTTCGTATGATTAGAACTAAAAGTTGTCTCACAGTATGATTTACGTGATATTTCATTGGGACTACCATAAGGAAAGTGAGAATTGGTTTTGTAGATAGTTTACCACAAAAAATTTATCAAATTCAATTTCAAATTAGTCAAGTCAGCACAAGGTTTGATAGCCAAGGATAAGAGTGGTACATCAGATCCATACGTCACTGTTCAAGTGGGGAAGGTCAAGAAACGGACAAGGACAATGCCACAAGAATTGAATCCAGTATGGGACGAAAAGTTCTATTTGTGAGTACAATATTTCATGACTGAACACACTGTTGAATGTCTATAACTTGATATAGTCATGATGCACTACTTTTAATGCTAACTTCTTGAAATTTATAGTGAATGTCACAATTCCTCGGACAGAATCAAAGTTCGCGTGTGGGATGAAGACAACGATCTGAAGAGCAAACTGAGACAGAAACTCACCAGAGAATCTGATGATTTCTTGGGACAGACTATAATAGAGGTAGGTCCGATATAATAAACAAATATGTCTAATTTTTATTCACATACCTGCTGTTCTAGAAAAAAGAAATTATACCTCATAACGAAACCACCAGGTCTAGTCTATTGGCTAGCCAAGATTTTGGTATAATAAGGGGGTACTAATTTTCCTTTATTCGGCAGTCATATAGGTATATAAGAATCTCCAAAAACAATGATTGCCACTTCGAAATGGTAGCTAATAGAAATGGCGGCCAATACAAAATGACGGATGTTGACTTTATAGAAACGATCGTATCTCTCAAAATAATAATCCGATTTAAATTTTCTTGGGCTCAAGTGAAAGCTCTGATGTACTTTTGAATTCCTTCAGAGATGAAACACGAATAAATGTTTTTTAATACTTCAAAATAATGAAATGATTCATTGAGAGATACTCAAAAACGATGAGATCCCTGGGAAAAATATGTTCAAATCAATATATTAGAAAAATGAATACAAAAAGCTCAAAATCATTTCCCCACAATGTTCATAAAATGAACAACATTGGTAGATTTCGGGGAAAAACTACTCTCCTGGCTAATGTCACGCAAAACATTGAATTACATCTTCCCGAAATCTGCAAGGTTCTTCATTAGAGGCAACCATTAATCGGCTAATCAGGTAACCGTTTCGCCTTGAACATCAACATTATACCAAATCGTAATGTTGAATACAGTCCATGAACTAACATATTGATTTCCTGGTTTGTATTGTCTGCTTAGTGTCCAAAATACGTTAGTTCGTTGAGATTGTTTGAAATTTTCTAAACAATGTTGTGGAAGCTGAGCAAATATTTCTTGGCTTTTTCCCATCAATAACTGTAGTTCAAGATTTTTCTGGTAAACATTTAGATGAAGTTTTCTGGAATATGAAGTCATCGACGCGATGAGAAGATTCAGCTCCACTTAAATTTTCCTCTAAGCGATCTATATCATTATAGGCTACTATAGTAGGGATGCTGACATGTAACCCCTGAAAGAATTGAATTTCTCCATACAAAATACTGTATCTACCTCCAAAAGTTTAGAATAGCTACATCCATGGCCAAGGCGAAAATATAAATCATCCTAACGTTTCCTCTCAGTGTCTTCACTTTCATCGCGAGAAGAACATGTTTTGGACTTCAAACTGTACCTTTGGAAGTTGCAAATATTATATCTTGTGGAATTGACCATATCAGCCTAGCCGCTCAAGGTGATGAATCACCAGTTAGGTTTTGCAGGACACAAATCAAAGTTCCTTATGAAGTTCGTGTGGTAATGGAGGCCAAACATTAGATTCCTCCATACATTTAATATCTGATTTTATCTCAGAAGCAGCTCGAGGAATAAGATTGCCTCTTTCATTTTACTAATGGTTCTTTTCTTATTTGATTTGGATGTCACATATTTTTCGAGTAGTAAGTCGTAAGATTATCTGGTGAAATATATATTTCACCATCAATTTTTGTTATGTCGCATATTTTCCACTACTATCCCGTTTCAAACGTTTCTCAACCTGACTAGATGAACAGAGAGTTTCCGATGGCTCAGGTAAGTCCTGAGACGATGTGGCTTCTGCCTTCAATTTCCTCAGAGCTTTAATATTCGTGAAATTTGCCCGACACTCTCTATGTAATGATTCATAAATACTGTAAATACTCAAAATCGCTATAGCATCTGAAAAATAAAAAACATTATATCCGAATTTTGAAAATGATCAATCGGACAATCTTTTCCTGAGATATGGTCTTTTTTATGAAACCATGATCCGCCATCTTGAATTGACCGCCATTTCTATTAGCTACCACTCTAAGATGGCAATCATGATTATTCGTGATCCCACCATGTACCTGTGTTAGCAAGAAAACTTAGTACCCCCAAATTAAACCGATTACTCGAATTTGACTAGGTAGCCAATGGACTAGTCTGTATGAATAAAAATGAAACTACAACAGTGTCGGAACCATTGAATGTGTCTAGTGGTGTTCCCCATGGTAGCACCCTAGGCCCATTTTTTATCAAAATGATCGATGATATCTTCCTGAACGTTCAAGATGGACTCCTGACACTGTGTGCTGATGAAAGATCAGTTGGCTTAAACAGCAAAAACTTAACCTTGCTTACAGGTCAACCATATGTATCAGTGATATAAAAAGGTGGTGTGACGCAAACGGATTGATTTTCAATCTATCTGGAACAATTTTTGTACTACTCACACCTATACCGACAAAATCTGATATCTGCTTATTGGTGAGGCCTGGTTTTTGAGTTAATCGGATTTTTTCCAAGGAATTTTCCATGTTTCAAAACGGAATTTTGTCAAGCATAAAATTGCACAGTTTTGCCAAGATTTAACCGACACTGCATCTCTCACAGTTCACGAGATCCCAATGATGAGGCTCTAATTCCAGCCACCCTGTACATAATTGGTACTGGTATTCAGTATCTCAAACGTGGGACCATTCGTCTCTAAGTCGATTAATAACCAGTGATTGGAATTAACGTTTGAAGCACCCGAATATCAATAAATAATCATTTTCACATAATAGAAGACGTTTTTGAATGAGTAATTTTTTACGTGTCATGAAAATTATCAGTACACGATCCCTCAACGTATCAAGTAACTCAAGAGTTATAAATATGTGAATTCGAAACGTTGAAGTAAACGAGAATATGTTGATTGAATCTATTGAATTTCTAACGTTATAAACAGGTTATTTCGAACAATTATTCCAACGTACATTGTGAATGTGTCGTTTCATTGAGATATAATAAAGTGTTATTGCTTGAATAAAGTATCAATGTTTCAACATTTAATAGTGGTTGTAGATTAACAGAAAGTAATGAATTGTTGGGAATAAAACGTCTAAATAACGTCTTTATTTCCCGATCTTCAACCAAAATTCAACGTTGTAGTTTCCAACCACTAACGTTATTTCCACGATTCCAACCGTAATTCAACGTTTCATCAACGAGTTTGTGTTTACTGGGCTCTAACAACAAATCCAATCGTTCTCCCAATTCCAGGTACGGACCTTATCCGGTGAGATGGACGTATGGTACAACCTGGAAAAGCGCACCGACAAATCGGCCGTGTCCGGCGCCATTCGGCTTCACATCTCCGTGGAGATCAAGGGAGAGGAGAAGGTGGCCCCCTACCACGTGCAGTACACGTGCCTGCACGAGAACCTGTTCCATTACCTGTGCGAAATGAACAACGGGGTGGTCACCCTTCCGGAGAACAAGGGGGATGACGCGTGGAAGGTGTATTTTCACGATGCGGCCGAGGAGATCGTGGACGAGTTCGCTATGCGATATGGCATCGAGTCCATCTATCAAGCAATGACGTAAGATACTCATCGTTCAGTTTTTCATTTCATACCTTACAAAAAACTCAATTCACGACCCCTTAAGAACAGATGAAACTGGTACTTTTCGTTCCTTATATGACAATTTTCCTTCCCCTGTTTCACCATACCGTTTCTAGACACAAGACCAATTATCAACCAGAAATAAGGTAACCAGTGGAATTCAAGGGTCTGTGCTCGGTCCGACTCTATTTCTACTGTACATCAGCGATCTCGCAAGAAAAATTGTTTCCACTTTCCTTCGAAGACCTTCAACCAATAATAAAACAACCATACAGGCAGATCTGGTTGCCATAAGTCGTTGGAGCTCCATATGGAAACTACCATCGAATACGGCGTGTGGTGCTTTATTTGGGTAGCGATAATCCCAGAATAAGGTACACTCGTCCTCAGAGAACATGTCGTGGTTGGACGGTGTAAGCGCTCTTATTGCAACAGTGATTTAGAGAGCAGATCTGGTTGCCATAAGTCGTTGGAGCTCCATATGGAAACTACCATCGAATACGGCGTGTGGTGCTTTATATGGGTAGCGATAATCCCAGAATAAGGTACACTCGTCCTCAGAGAACATGTCGTGGTTGGACGGTGTAAGCGCTCTTATTGCAACAGTGATTTAGAGAGCGCACACCGTCCAAGTGCGACATGTTCACTAAAGACGAATGTAGACCCTCAGCAATTCGGATTTGCATGTAGTGGACGAACAAATCGATCTCGGAATGACAATCACCAGCAATAAGGGTTGGTCGCACCACGTCAACAAATTTGCCTGTAGTGGACGAACAAATCGATCTCGGAGTGACAATCACCAGCAATATGGGTTGGTCCCAACACGTGCACAAAATAGTGGAACGAGCAAATAGTGCGTTATACCTTATCAGCAAAACTTCTCATAAGCCTTCCCCTACACTCATGTGTAATTTGTACAAGTCTTATATCAGACCTGACCTGGAATTTATGGGTCACCGTGGTTGACTCGCGATATCAAATTAATTGAGGGTTGTCCAACGCCGTGCCACTAAATTCATCAACAGACTGAATCAAAAATCGTATGCCGATCGCCTGCGACATCTAAACTTGTCTACTCATTACTGGAGACGGACTCGAGTCGATCTGATCGAAATTTGAGAAATCCTTACAAATCGGTACATAGTAAACTTATCTAGCATGTTCGATGTGAATGAGAGTGACAGGTTGCGCAGTCATCCATACAAACATTTCCTTTTCATGTGAATTCTATGACAGGTTCATGTAGCTGAGTCAATCCTTATTAGTAATTATTCTAGAATCAAGCAACTTCAGTACGAAGTGTTTATCAGCTTCTACTCTTGTGAGTTTATAAATAAATAAATAAATGATTATCTATGTCGAAATAGACTTGCACGCTGCGTTCTTGGCAGCCTCTTGGCACGCGAAAGATGAAGAATCTCGCGAAGTTATGGAAATGCTAGAACTGTCTCAGGGTAGATATAAATTGTGGTAGCTCGATGTTAGAGTATGAGTTAGAGAATTGTGTAGGAAGAAGATTCATGGAAATATACTATAGGGTAGCATCTCGCGCTCTTACAAACGTTTTTTGAACACGCGATATTCTTTTTCAAATCGCTCTCTCGACTCCTTGTTAAGAATATGAATTGATGATAATATTTCGCCTGTTTAGCGAAATATCTTGGTAGGTCGTTTCTGCTGGAACTCATTTTCAAAACTTAGAGCAACTTGAAAGGGTGAACAGCGTGACAGTTTATTTATTTTTGTACCAACGAACGTTGTCAACGGGATGTCGACGGCGGAACACTTTTGTGATGGGTATAGCTTGAGGTATAGCCACATTATACTATTTGAACAACCTCCTTCAGTTGTTTTCATTAGTATGCTCGCAATAATATGATTTCTAGGACATTATGAAAATAGCAACCACAAAGGTAGTAGAAAATAATTTATCCACATATCAGGAAGAATATGTTTTTCCCTTTTGGTATGTAGATGGCTATTACATACTAGATTCGAGTCCGGTGAATATCTTACTACGGTATTGAAAACCTTGGTAAAAATTTCACGGGACTAGTCCGGTAAAAATTTCACGGGACTAGTCCGGTAAAAATTTAACCGTTCACAATGTTAACCTTACCACTGACAAAATTACTTGTGTTTCCGTGGCTTCTTGCGATTTGAGCAATGTTTTCTAAGGAATCAACACATTTTTCCGTTCCATTTTACAAATAGTAATATGCGATAACTACGCCGGAATAATGAAAACGAAAAATTACTCGCGTTCCTATGAAAACTATCTCAGTGCGCATTTAATTCAAAATCTGGGAACATTATTCGCATATCTACTACCTTCGAACAAGGGGGTGGTGACCCTTCAGAAGAATAAGGGAGAATCACTCGTGAAGAGCTACTGTATTTCCATGAACTATTGGGTCCATTTATCAAGCAATGACGTAATATGTTTGTAAAATTTGTAAAATTTGTATATCGCTACTTCAAAGTTGGGAACCAACTCCCCAGAATTCAAATCTTGTGCAAGGTTAGGAAGAGCGGGACATACAGCTCATAGTGGAATGCGAACCACTTCTGGGGTATCGAGGTTCTGCGAGGATCACAACCATGAATCACGCATTTTGAAGAGAAATGCTCAGCCGATAGCCGGATTCGAACCGACACTACCTTCGCATCGACAACGGCTATCTAGCGAATTTCAGCGCATAGACAAACCCGGCCCCGGAGCCCATGTTCATCGTCAAGTTTTTTTTGCGCCTTCGTATCGACAAGGTTGATTAACATACTAAAATAAGTGTTTGTTGACCACCTTCTACCGATCAATTTCTCTATTAATGAACGATTATGGTATAGGCATCCCAACATACTGTCACATACTGTAGGCGGGAGTTGCCTGAGTTATGTTCTAGATCCATTAGAGAATGAACTCCGTGAGTGACTATAATACATAAGACGACAAGGATGTTAACAAAACATATCCACATACACTCATCCTCGGAATACTTACCAAATATAATAAAAACTTATGCTTATCCTACATACATTATTATACAAACGAGCTATGATTGCGGGATCGCATATTCTGTTATGTCCCGAACACCGAAGGTTTGGGCATAGCAAATAATCAGAATAAATTGAATTGTTCTCATCTATGATTCGGTTGCCCCCTTACGAGCAACCCTCAGAAGTCTTCAAGAGACTTGTGCGAGCAAGAAATGACGGGGGTCTTACCTTTCAACGTGTGATCTCGAACACTTTCTTAGACCATCAGAAAAATTTCTGCGATCGTGGTGGGAATCGAACCCACCTACCAGCAATCCAACGTGGATAAAACATTGACGCTTTAACCACGAAGCTACGCTGGCCAATTGGTCCAATTGATTGAATGATCGAATTCATTGAATTCCTAGGATGAATTCTGCTCTGGCATCCGCGCATATATTATATAAGTTATCTGTACTTAGGCATTGCATTCATCAGATGGATGAACTTCTTGACTATAGCTCTCTCATGGAGTTTTTCAGCAATTTCCTGGTCTGAAATATGTTATGGAACGAATGTTAATCATGATTTTTTGCAGACATTTCCACTGCCTCTCAACAAAATATCTATGTCCTGGAGTACCAGCTGTGATGAGTACCCTTCTAGCCAATATCAACGCCTACTATGCCCACACCACTGCGCTGTCAGCTGTATCAGCTAGTGACAGATTTGCTGCATCCAATTTTGGCGTGAGTATCAGTAAACAATAGGCAAAACATACCATCACAGGTTTATCAGGAAGTAAGGTATATGTTTGGTATAAGCTTTCATATCAAATATAATCTGTCTCAAAATTGGTCATAGATTTCAAAATTATTGACAGGTATAGTATCCTGCATGATGCATAATCAGGTCAATCAATTTATAGCCATCTTTGTACATTCAATTTATCGGTTGTGTGGTATTGCTTTCAGTATCATAGTTTGACCTTGTGAATGATCAGTTCCTATAAAAAGCTGTAGACGCTGAAGGAGTTCATGAATCCTTATCACTCAAAAGTCCGAAGATATGCTCTCTATTTTGGAGAAAGTTTCCATCTCGATTCAGATTAAATTCTGTGTTGAAATAAACCATCCTGATGAATCAAAAGAAGTAATATATTCATGCAAGCGCTATTATGAGAGTATCTGCTTTCTCAAAATATTCAGATGAACGATGATATTCTGATTCTGAAGCCGGAAGATCAACTCTCAACCCTTCAATCTGGATGTATTGAATCTTTATCGTAATTCCGCATTGAAATAATTACTGCGATATACAGCTAACGAACAAATGCTTGCTGCTTTCGCTATTCCAATTTATCTTCATTGCAGACAATCCTGTCAATCCATCAAATTTTTTGGGAATTACACTATCTGAACTAAGTTTAAACGAAGTGATTGAAATCACTCCTACACCTTCATCTTCAAGAAGCCTACGAATGCATATCATTGTTTTTCTTCAAAACTGACTATCATTTTGGATAATTTTCGTGATTTTCCTCCGCAGAAAGAAAAATTCGTCAAACTGCTGGATCAACTGCACAACTCTCTCCGTATCGACCTCTCTATGTACAGAAACAACTTCCCTGCTTCCAGTCCAGACAAGCTCAAGGACCTCAAGTCCACCGTCGACCTGCTCACCAGCATCACGTTCTTCCGCATGAAGGTGCAAGAACTGGCTTGCCCTCCCAGAGCTAGCACCGTGGTCAAGGACTGCGTGAAGGCCTGCCTAAGATCCACGTACCAGTTCCTCTTCGAGAATACTTACGAGTTGTACAACAGGTAGTAAATTCATAATTTCGTTTCTTTTAATTTATATTGTCTGCCCCACGTTGGGCGCCAAATGTTAGAGTTCGATTATGAATGAGGTCGTGGGGTCCAGATAATGCTTTCAACACCCTGAATGTCTGCCTAATTTGTATGTCTGAATGTTATGATTGGATAGTCATTCACTAGAGACAGGCTTTTTATAATTTATAGATGGTGAACTTCGATCACTACTGCTGATGCTGCTGCTGCTGCTGCTGCTCCTGCTCCTAATGATACTGGCAAATCGTATCCCACGTCGAAGTGCCTTCTATGAATACTTGATTCATAGCGTTTTCCACTCGTCGCACTAGCTCGAACTTTTTCGGCACTAAGTGCGTTTTGCGTGGTCCACTGAGAATTTCAAGAGCAAACTTTTGTTGAGAAATGGTTCCCAATGGCTTAACAACTTGCTCGATACTCGCCTAGAGTTCGAGTTTTCAGAACTGTGCCTGTACGACGGTACGATACACATAACCTCAAATATTCGAGTCACGAGTGAAAAAATGTTTGGAATTCGAATAATTATGTATGTCTCATTGAAGTTTATCACAATTATTACAATGATATCCGAAATCATAGATACATCGGATACAAGCGCTGATGAAGAAATGATGATTGAGATTCACAAGGAAAGCACAATGAGAGGGAGACGAATTTCATGTGGACCAACGGAACCAAATGTTTATGGAAGAACCGAGCCAGTGCCACTTGTACTTGCTCTGTGCTAGTGCGTTCTGTAAATCGGCGAGTGGAAAACATCATCAGTATCTCTTCAGCTTCTCTTCGGATTGTTCTAGCCAATGAAAATATTCAATATGTCCATCGATTTTTCAGTATTTATTATCTTTTCCACTATTTATTTTCGTTTTCTCTAGTATTGCCTGGAAAACCCTTTCTCATATTTTAACAATTATTGAACATGTTACTTCAGCTTTTCAATTATATATATGGTACAAAGGTACTAGTTGGTACGATATATTACCCTACAAATAATCTTCGGTGAGATCGTAGAAATTACGAGAAATCTTGATGAGGATAAAGGTTTATGTCCGATGAAATTCCTGCGCATTATGTTCAGAAAGAGAAAGTATCGAGAGCTATCGTATATAATGCTCTATTTCTTTCTTGAAATCCATAATTCTATCAAAGAATGACTTTTCCACACACTGATCCACTGAATCATTATGATTGAATCAAATCTTGTACTATACAGTGATTAAATTCTGAGCGCAATGAACAGCCAGACTCAGGTTGACTCTCTGTATAACGATTTCAGTAAGAGATCTGACGAAAATGGTCATACATAGAGTTTAAGGTTAGATGCCTGTTCGCATTCCTACCACTGAATGAATGGATATATAGATAAATGAATAAATCAACAGGGAGTTCCAGTCGGATCCTAACGAGCCCAAACGGGATTCGGAAGACCACGGACCAAGGCTAGACAGCGTAGACTTCTGGCACAAGCTGATAGCTCTAATAGTTTCGGTTATAGAAGAGGACAAGAATAGTTATGGTCCTGTTTTGAATCAGTTCCCTCAGGAACTCAATATTGGACAGGTAATAGAATCCTTGACCTGCGTAATCTTGATTTCACATCAGTCCTTCTATTTCTTCAGTTATCAGCAGCTACAATGTGGAGTCTGTTTGCTGTCGATATGAAATACGCTCTAGAAGAACACGAACAACACAGACTGTGCAAGTCTTCAGCGTACATGAACCTGCACTTCAAAGTGAAATGGCTGTATTCCAACTACGTCAAAGATGTGCCGCCTTACAAGGGAGCAGTCCCAGAATATCCAGCTTGGTTCGAACCGTTCGTCATGCAGTGGTTGAACGAAAACGACGACGTCTCCCTGGAATATCTACATGGTGCCTTCAATAGAGATAAAAAGGATGGAGTGAGTCTCAGACATTAAATCGATAGATAGGCACCACGATTCATTTATAAATTATAATCATCAAGTAAACGTCAACAATCCTAAACGTCATACACGGATAATTCAATGAAATCGCGAAAGGTTGACAATAGGTCGCGTGCACGATGACCGACCCTATGGGTAAGATATTGAAACACAACCTCACTCTTCTGTAAAACATTGAAACACAAACTCACTTTTGCATTTGTTTACAGTGAAAACAAAGGATTGAAATTGTTTTTCTCAATATTTTGGCATACCAATAGTGTTTTTTGCGCTATTCATCAATTGCCTTCTCATCGAGATGTTGTCCTATACACAAAAAATGCAGCGAGTAACGAAGGAATATTATTTTCAGGCAGATAGTAATCTCACATAGTTTTCATTGTGAAATTTTGTCATTTCTTATTAAAATTCTGCAATAAAAGCTAATACTGCTTATAGATAGAAAATGTTTACAAAACAAACGATCATATTACGTCAGCATGTCAGACCAGTCCTTCCGTTTGATTTCATGAATCTAATCTTCTCACATTCTCTAGAAATTTCACTAGTTTTTCCATTACCTCATATTGCAGAAGGAATTCCGATGAGAAATCAGAGACATTACCAAATTTCAAAATAAAAACTATATGTGAGTGACAATAGTAGGTACTTACTTCAGAATCATAATGTATTAACCGGATTCCTTCGTCTCCCACTGCATTTTTTGTGCATTGTACAACAGCACAATGTGATGGCATTCGCTTATTAATAAATAGTTGAAAAACACGATTCGTATGCCGAAATAATCGTGAAAAACTATTTCAATCATCTGTAAACAACCTCCAGGTCAGTCATCTGACAGTGCTTGCACGCAACTCATATCAACTCTCACGTGTTGTAACATGATGATATGTCATTTTGTAACGTCTCAGTGGGTTAATTCCATATTTTGAATAATCTGAACACATTATTCTAGATTGTTCGAGGATAGTTCCTCCTCGTTCCTATGAAATAAGTATAATCTCAATATACGTGTAGTGAGAACAAATCAGATGAGAGCCTAAAAGAGAAAAAAAAACTGATTGTCAGTGGCACTTCGTTTCGAGAACGGTTTGGAGAATAACATGTAGGTATGAAGAAAATTATAACTTTTTTATTTCTGCGCCTCGTGAAAAAATCAGTTCTCGATTACCAAATTGAACATTCAGAAATAAATGATTTCTTGGCTTTTGCCCGATTGAGGACCATAGGTTCGAATACAGAAACCTCATATTGTGTACATGCAGTGCGCGAAATATGTATTTTGCACACTATTTTGTGCACGCTGTCGTAGTAACGTAGGAAAATGAAAAAAGGGTTACTTGAGATATCAATGAACAAACCACGTCATTTTTGGACGTTTGGAGATTAAAATCGCTTGAGCAAAGTTGCGTTTTCCATTCCAATATTTGGTCATGAATCGTAGAAACAATCAAACTGTTTCAAAATTCCACTGAAATGTTGATGGAATCCATAAAACTGTTGTAATACAATGTGCACTTTCAATTTACCCTGAGAGAATTCAGCGGTTTGGAGAAGATTCACCATGGACACATTTGCGGTATTGTTCTATTCGTTTTTTGTTTTGATCTGATAGAAAACAAAAAACATTGAGGATTTTCAGGATCCATGAGAGATTTCAGAATTTGCAGTTAGTGTTAATCAATAAAACTGTATGACAGACTGACCTACAACGAAATCCATTTTTCCATCAATGTTTTGTATATTCCATTGCAGCAGAGGGTTGGTGGCCTAAGACCGATCAGAGATTAGCTAAAATGCTACCGCTGCTATAGAAATCTTACTCAATATTCCGCCTCTCGATATCTTCATCAAGGCTGATGGGGCGAAGATGGGGGCACACAGACTGGCGAGTGTATATAGTGGCAACTGGCATGCTAGGGCTGACTCCCTGGGACATACCAAAATGATCAGACTAGTTTCAAGCTCACTAATGAAAATTGGGGAGTGACAAAAGGCTGCCCAGAAATAACTATTAATGACCATTCAACACTCAGTGCTACTGGGATGGAATGGTCTTGACTAACTATCAGGAAGGTATGTCAGTACACTGACGGGTCTAAGACTGATGAGGGTACGGGAGCCGGAATATATAGAGATAGACCCCTGAACTAGGGTTTGTGCTTCCTTGGGGAGGTATATGCTTCAGTATTCCAGGCAGAGGTGCATGTTATTGAGGCATGTCTGAGTGAGAATATCGTGAGACGATACAGAGGTAAACAAATCCTCATATGCTCAGATAGTCAGACGGCCATCAAATAATCAACATGCAATTAAATCAGATCAAGATTGGTCTGGGATTGCCTTCAAAGCCTGCTAACCATAGACCTGGTCTATGCTGCTAACCCTGGTTAACCACAACAAGGTAACGCTTCAAAGGCTACCAAGGCATAAGGGAATTGAATGCAATGAAGCAGCGAACGCTCTTGCTAGGCAAGGGTCTGCGGCGTTGATTATGGGACCGGAACCTACCTTCGGAATCCCCACAACCAGAGACATCAGAGACATTGGAACAACGTTCCAGGACAAAGACACAGTAAACTGTTGGTTGGAACACTGTATAGATCAGTGACTAACGACATCCTGAGCCTAAACAGAACTCAGCTCAGACACGTGCATCAGATGAACATCTATACAGACGAACCTATATGCAAACTATGCAATGAGGAGGAGGAAACGGTCACCCATGTTATATCGGAGTGCGAGGCACTGCGCGTTGGAGATACAACCTTCCGGGAGCACTAAAATTGCTCAAGGTAGTGAACCAGTTCACCTGAGTCAACATCATGATCAGAAATATCATCATAGGTCCAAAGGCTGCAGTGTTTTAGGCTTCGCACCCTTAATGAATATCATTAGAAAATTAGTAACGTCACGACCAAAAAAGCGCATATATCAGTACAGACTCTCTTCGATGGAATGAAAAACACACCCCAAGCTCTCGCGATTACTTCGCTCCCTTGATTCTTGATTATTTGGCATGACAATAAAACTTTTATTCAATGAAACATGTATATTTATCGATAAAAACATAATCTCTTATGTATCAACACCCGAAAAATCCTTTAGAATTATCAATTTGGCAGTGGTTTCTCAGAGGTCCTCTGAATCTGATGTATCTATAGCAGAAAATAAAACACTTCTCTGAACTCGTTACTCTGAGTCTTGACGATCTGATTGGAGATGCTAGTTTGCTAGTTAGTAGGCGAGAGGTATGAGCTTTCGAATTCACATCGACAATGGTCTGAGAATTGAGTAATTCAGTATGTTTCTGAAACATCGCTCATTGCCATTGTTGTATATTTCTAGTTCCAGAAGAGCAGCGAGCACACTTTGTTCTCTAATTCTGTGGTGGACGTGTTCACCCAACTGACGCAGTGTTTTGATGTGGTGTCCAAGCTCGAATGCCCTGATCCGGAGATATGGAAGCGCTACATGAAACGGTTCGCCAAAACGATAGTGAAAGTTCTCATTGCTTACGCTGATATCGTCAAGAAAGAGTTTCCAGAACATCTTAAAGAAGAGAGAATAGTAAGTATCGGAGAATGGTGATCAAATTTTAATCATTAGTACTCGGGAAGTTTTTACATTTGTCATGGATTTCCATCAAGTAACGGCCGAGTCAATTCAAAATTGAAATAGATAGTGAGTCTGATTTTTGTCCAGGCTTGCATACTAATGAATAACATTCAACAACTTCGAGTACAACTGGAGAAAATGTTCGAATCCATGGGTGGAGATAAGCTGGAAGAGGACGCGGCCAACATCCTGAAAGACCTCCAACAAACGCTCAACGGTTGCTTGGACGACCTCGCCCAATATTTCGCCACAAGCTTGGAGCACAGGATAACGGTGAGTAGGTACACTGAAAAAACTGGTCTAAGTTCACGTTCACCTGAAAAAAAATCGATAGTGATAAGTTTATTACAAGAAACTAATAGTAGACAATTGGATGTTCCTGAAACTATGTTGCTGCTATAATTAATCAGTTATCTTATCGCTATTTATCAAATCGATATAAATTTCATGTTCGCTTATCGCAAGTGTACTGATGACTTATTGTAGCTATACGGATTCCTACCACTATCGAAATGTTTTCCTGAGGAAAAATCACTTGCCATTGGTATCTGTGTTACAACGACAATGGGCTTATATCACAAAAAAATTTTATTTCATAATTCGATAGAACTCAACCAAACTAGCGCACCACCGCAAACCGTTTCTTGCTGTGAGCTCCCTACGTTTTATAAAAAATTATTGAAATCCCCGATTTTTCGGACCTCTGAAAACGAGGCGATGATGTGACGTCAAAACCCTAATACTGAAACCAGACTATTCCAGACAGAGATGAATGATACATGATTTCTGACAGAGTGAATTAGCGCGAGATCACAGTTAAAAGAATTAATATATCAGTTGCCTTAGTCTCCGTCGGGCGTTTGGTATTTTCTTTTAACTATGGCGAGATGAGGTTTCTACGTCACTAGAGGGTCTGTTTCCAGTAGGTACTATTATTTATGTCCAAAAATAAAACATTCCAGTTAATTTTTCGATCGAATTTTGTCGTCAATCATTATTTAGTATAAAATGATCATTATAAACATGTTTTGAGTTAAGTTAAAAGTTCTACTAAGGTGTACACGCCCATCAGGGTAGGCAATCATTCACCTAGGGCAAGTGTATTAATGGCGATACGGACGTGCGGTCATTCATATTCGGGTCGAGACGGTTCATATGCAAGATATCATGAACTTTCACTCAGAAAAAGTCAATGGGTTGGAGTGATATGTTGTGTGCGATTATGAGAATGAGTCGAAAATTTGCGACAAATGATAATGGATGAAGGCTCTTCTTGTGAGTGGATTTCGATGTCTTTGAAGGTTGGTGAATGTTATTATTCATGATTATTTTTTCGAATAGTGCCTTTTCATCAGAGATGAGTAGCAGTGATTCACTTATCTCTGCAATTCATGCAATGATTCTGTAGAAACAATGTTTTCAGTGGTTCTTTCCAAATTCAGATGATATTTGGTCTCAACATGTAGGTACCGTGAATCATTGATAACAGATTATAAATATTTCTGAAATGGTAGTGAATTTTTGATGCGAACCAGATTTGAACGCGATTGATCACAACATCCTCCTATATGCATGATTCCTTGGAATGTAAAATTCTTTGCTTTGTGGTGAGATTTCAATTCTGATGCCAACCCAAACCTGAGTTATAATTCATGATGAGACAATATCGATTTTTTATACATATTCGATATTGGCATTATAGTGTAGACTATGAATTGACACGAATTTGAAAATAATTATTATAAATAATAACCATCAACTTAAACTACGAAGACTTATATTGAAATCCTACAATCTCGAATGATGCATATTCTTCGGAGTATTTAATTAATGGTTTTTGATGAATTTGTTGAATAGTGTATCGACAAATCCATATACATACAATGAGGAATAATCGAGAAGAGCCCTCTACGCCTCAGTGAAAAATTCACTAACACCCACTTATGACTAGTGATCAGTACACTTGAATGTTGATATAGAACCTGTGTTTCCGTCCAAGTGAAGAGAGTTTTTTTAAAAGTTTCGCGACTATTTTGAAATTCTGCAATTTCAATGTTAGGGTCCCAGAAGAATATAATGAAATGTGCAATAAAAAATAAAATGGCGTTTCATAGGTGAGTGTGAAGGAACTGGCAGACCTCCTTCTGGCCATCAAAGGCGGTGGTCAGCCAGGTCAGCTCAATCAACCCGCACAAAGGAATGCCGTGGCAGTAGAAGCCGATGAGGTGCTGAGGCCTCTGATGGACCTACTGGACGGATCACTGTCACTATACGCTCAATCGTGTGAAAAAACAGTGCTGAAGAGGTTGCTGAAGGAGCTGTGGAAGATAGTCATGAGGATATTGGAGAAGACCGTTGTTCTTCCACCCATGACAGATAAAACGGTAGGTTTCTAGTTCATTGGGAAAGCGACATAAGTCGACATAATTTTATTGTATTGTATGCTGTGACTTGAGGGATATACAGGGTCCTGCATCTCACCTCCCGTCTTCTATAGCTCAGTTATCAGCTGAGTCAGGATTTTGATGTTCTGCAGAATTGTCTCATAGGGCGCATACCAGTTAAATAATTTCGATAATACAGGGTGTACCAAAAAAGTGTGACGTCATAATGATATATTTTTAAACGGCACTAATACAGGGTGTACCAAAAAAGTGTGACGTCATAATGATATATTTTTTTAAACGGCATGCCATATATTTTGTTGAACATTTGGGTACTTCCTGTGGTCACCTACATACTCCTGAAATTTGATTGAAATCGGTTCAGTGATATTCACGAGAAAAAAAATAACAAAGAAATTCGATTTTGCACCACTGGTTAAAAACAATAATAACAAAAAAAGAGAGTGCCTGGTCAATACAATCATGAAAGATACTTTCAAATATAAGGCATAAGAGGATCGCTAACCGAGTTTGGTTGACACGAATTATCACATGGTCCTTTATCTGAAAATAATTGATTTTTGAATGAAAACAATTGAAATAATAATTAATAACGGAATAACTGAGATAGTGCCAGGAGATTCTTTAACAAATTCCTCTACGATTTCCACCGTAGATTTCGAATCTAAGTTCAAAATTTTGGTTATTAGTATACAGGGTGAGTTATTCTCATAATAACTTAACATAGGGAAAAATATTATTTCGGTCCTGATATTGGTTTCGATCGAAAGGCTACTTGTTGATGCCCTTCATCCAACAATAATTGATTTCTGGATGAAAAAAATCAAAACAATATTCAATTACGGAATAGCTGAGATAGTGCCAGAAGATTCCTCAACAAATTCCTATTCGATTTCCATCGTAGATTTCGAATATGAGTTAAAATTTTTGGTAATTATCATACAGGGTGAGTTATTCTCACAATATCTCAACATAGGGGAAAAATATTATTCCTGTTCTGATATTCGTTTCGATCAAAGGGCTACTTGTTGATGCCTTTCAGTGTTATTCGTGTACCAAATTTGAATCCAATCGGTTAATCCCTGTATTTGATATGGCGGATTGAATTGTTTGTCAAAATCCACACACCATCACTCTGTATTTTGTTAAAGGCATTTTGCAATCATATTGACAGTCCCTATAGCCCCATAAGTTTTGTCGATTTTATCTCCGGACACCCTGTATAAAAATTATTTTTGCATAGGCTGACATATGCGTTTGACCTTTCGTGATTATACGCCATTTTTTCAATAGGATTCTATTATAATATCTTCTGAAACATACTAGTCAAAAGGTCGGTTGAAGAGTTGCATATCACGAATCATCATCTAGCGGTGAAAATTAATCGAGAGTATCAGGGCTGGTTTTTTGGTTGTCCTATATTTATTTTCAGAACTACCGACCCTGACATTTTTGATAAGTTTCCACCGCTAGATGATACTTCCTGACACGCAACTTTTTCTCCATTTAACCGACCTTCTTACTGATGGTATGGTTTGGAAGTTACCAAGTTACCAATACAATCCACTTACAGTGGCCACCTTGTCTGTACCCAGTAAGTATCTCAGCCTGTCCATGACATTGAAGATTCTTCCAGATTTATAATCTATGTTGAGCTTCTTTTATTCTGGACATTGCGCTATATTTCGGTGATGGAGATGAACTAAATGTTTTATTGACATATGTCCTCAGCTTCTCACCCCGATCGTTTCAGATGATGTTCAAGAGCTTGACAGACAACGCTAAGAACTTAGCGGCCAATACGAAGATAGAAGACATGTCGAAACTGTTCAAGAACCACATGACCGGCAAGCAAGACGTGAAGAATGCTCTGAGCGGGGTGATGGACATCTCGAAGGAGGTGGAAAAGAACCTATCCCCCAAGCAATGCGCGGTGTTAGACGTGGCATTGGACACTATCAAACAGTATTTCCACGCAGGTGGAAACGGACTGAAGAAGGCCTTCCTAGACAAGAGTTCGGAGTTGCAGAGTCTGCGCTATGCCTTATCTTTATATACTCAGACTACTGATACGCTCATCAAAACGTTCGTTACAACCCAACTGAATGAAGGTGAGTTCAAAGTGTATATATTCCATATATTGATGTATCCTACTCCTATCACATAACACACAATTTCTATTTTCGTCAGAGTTGTCTTTGGTTCATTAGACCTTATCAATCGCACTCGATTCCTTGATAAAATATTATGTATTATTTTCACAAACACCAATTGAATACCTCAATCACTTCTATTGTTTTGCCAGCTAATACATTCTGAGGAAATATCAAGTAAATATTTTTCAATGTTCGAATCGATCCAACTGAGAACTGTCGAGATAATTCGAAATTCATGGATCTATTCAATGTCATCAACATAGGTTTTACCCCAATGCCGATTGTACAAGTTCACAGCTGACATGAGAAGAAATTGAGTAGGTTGTAGTACGGTGTAGGTTCAATCAGCAGCCACAAAATTTGGTCCCATGCTCAATTATACGGTAATATCAAGGTTTATACAATCTTACTGAACGATTTTTGTATGCTTGTCATTTTAATGAATCTCAAATCCTGATGACAACATATGTTACGATATATAATAATAATGTCACAATCCGATTTATGAGGAGAATAGAAGTGAGTTTCATCCATGGCATATATTGTTGAAACTTGAAACCAATTCAATCTAAACAGCGATGAATGTAGAAATATCCGAACAAGTTCAAGAGTTGGTGAAGACGGCAACGCTGTTTATATAACTGCATAGTGAATCATCAATTTTCCTCTACTACTAATGAACAATCGTCGCGTCATTGTATTTTTTGTGACGTCAGTACCGCTGACAATTTTCCGTTGTGTTCTGACGGGACCATTTCTTTCGGATTTTATTTTGGGAAATCTAAAGAGGATAAGAAATTTGAAAATATTTATGAATTCCTTTTCTCATCATTTGATACGTCATAGTATTTTTTTGAAAATGAGTGTTCTTGCGTTGTTAGTGATCAAGTGCTTTGGAAATACTCAACAGGTTTGCTAAAGACAACACTGATGAAATACTTTTGATCACTTTTTATTTAAACAACTACTCTCTCCTTACCCAAGTGCCGCTAAATAATAAACAAACGATGCTGCAAAGACAAATCTCGATAAGAGATGACACAGAAACCGAGGCAGGACTAGAAGCCCTAGAAGAACCCTTGAAAGCTAAAAAGAGAAGGGAAAGTGATAGCCAACCAGGTAGAACTTAATGAAAGAAGCGTTCGAAGCATTGATGCATTTTGTTCGAATTTGATAATCGTGTTTTTCCTTTTTGGATTCAGATATAATAAGTTCCTCACTTCATGCAATGCGAATACTTGATTTGAATACATAGTAGTTGATTATATTTGAATCCAAATAGATGATCACAGATTTGAACAGCATTTAGTATCAGAGTTGGTAGTGACTAGATTTCGTTTTACTTAGTAGGTTGATAGATTTTGAGCAGGTAAGGTGAATTGAAAAAGCTCGCAGCTTTGCAGTTGTAGCTATAAGATTTCTCACAAATATTTACAATTGTTATGGTCACTTTATGGTCACATGAACTTTTTTGCTTTTTCCAGAATGTAACTTTAATAACTTGTACATAACTTGCACTTATTACCTATATATATGAAGTATAGTGTTTTTTTTTTAATCAATACTATACATAATCACATTCTCAATCATATATCAACAAACTCGGATGCTTATTCGCACATCAGAAACAAATTGACAGATGACGAAGTTTCTAGAAAAAGAATACGTTAGAACTGTTAGCAAGCATGTGAGTTCCACATTTTTAGGATTAGAGTCCTTATATTTTTCACTACCTACTTAGAAACTAGCTATTGAAGCAGATATTGAAATTCTTCAAAAATTTCAGATAACATAGATGGACCTGAAGGAAGCGTAGGGGAAGTTTCTATACAAGTAGACCTCTTCACTCACCCTGGAACTGGAGAACATAAAGTCACTGTCAAAGGTCAGTATTGAACTAGGTCCAAACCACTTCCTCAGTAAACTAAAGTGAATATTCTTTTCCAGTTGTGGCAGCGAATGACTTGAAGTGGAACCTAGTATCAGGCATGTTCAGGCCTTTCGTTGAAATCAATCTCATAGGACCACATCTATCTGATAAGAAAAGAAAGCATGCCACCAAATCCAAAGCCAATAACTGGTCCCCAAAGTATAACGAAACATTTCATTTGTAAGTATTCATAATATCTACAAGAAAAGTATTTTTCGTCGGCCTTCACGAAAAATAGTCATTCAATATACAAGGGAAAAAAGTAGTAGATTTTAGCTTCAGGTTGTGTTGTCTCCCGACGCGTAGCGGAAGGAGACAAAAAACCGTCCAATGGACGTCCACGGTACCAAATTCAAACGTCCCATGGACGTCCTGAATGTCTCGACAGGACGTCCGAAGGATATCCATGGGACATAAGTGTGTTGTTAGGGTACAGAGTAGAAAAAAAATCTAGTTCAGAATACAAAATGATGAAATCTCTTTCTACCGGGGATCGATCCCTCAATACTTAGATTACCCAGGCAGATGCTCTAACCATTATAAGATTGGATATACATTATTCACGATGATAATATATGCCAACATTGCCATATCCACTTCAATTTGTCCAAATTGGTCTCAAAAAATCACTCGATTCATTATGACCTTCATCAAATGAATCGGCAGATGATCGGCAGCCAACACCAAAGGGGCTTTATTACTACTTCATTTGATATTATTTGGCAACGTTTCACTATTATTGAAAAATATAAGGAATATTAAGTGAATAATGAATCAAGAAAAAATTTTTACTATATAAAAATAGACGTCCTGAAAACGTACGTTCTGTACGTCCCGAAGTACGAGATCATACCTTATGAGGACGTCTATACTGGGAAATGGTTCTGAATTTTCAACCTCGATGAAGATATAAGTGTTTGAGGTCGACGAAAAAACTTAATATTGCTAGCCTCGGCTAAGGCCTCGACTATCAATTTGCAGACTGGACTGCAACATTTTTTCGTCCTTGGTACATAAATAATTATTCCTGAACTTTGTTTTCGTAGCATCATCGGTAATGAAGAACAGTTGGACTGTTTCGAACTACACATATGCGTCAAGGATTATTGTTTCGCCCGAGAAGATAGACTAGTCGGAGTGGCAGTTATGCAACTCAAGGACATCGTTGAGAAGGTAAATAGTATATTTCACGATTAAATACCAAGGGTCTATGACGAATGACGGAAGGATGGATATTTAAGTATAACCAGTTAGGAAACGCTTAATCATCTCTCAAACTTCATAATTGTGATACAGTGACAGTATTCCGACCTCAAAATTCATAACTTTGGAATGATCGAGAAATAGTCAACAATATTATAGGAGTATATGGAGAATGTGCTAATATATAGGGCATTCCATTTAAAAGGAGTGATCTTGACCCTCTAGATTTTTTCCGATGCCCCCTGTATATGCGACAATGATTTCTAGTTACGGACCTTGGAGTCTCATTGACATTCGCTTTTGAATCAAGTTTCTAGTTATCATAGAACTCTAGCAATCGAGCTCCGACGCACTAATGCGCCACACTGTATATGTTTTGGTAATGTCAAAAATTGTACTCTGAATGGACGTCCATAAAACTAGAGTCACTGGATGGTATTAGTTTGATAAGAGTTCGGACACAGCTGAACTTTTGTCCTTTTCTATTTTCTATAATACAATTAATGGTTTAGGTGAATAAAAGAATGAGACATATATTCTGCTCTTTGTCTTTTCAATTTCCCTAGAAGTGCCTGATTGTCAAATACGATTTTAGAGGTTATATTTTCTGTCAAATCAATCATAGCCGTAGATGGACAATGGATATAGGGTACAAACACCCACTTCAATTTATAGTGATACACTTCTAGCAGAACAACTGTTATATAAATGAGAAGAATACATGTACCAACGTTTTAATATTAGAAAATATACACATATGGATAAACTTATAGCTATAATTCCTTATTATTATATGTGAAACTGTACTCCAGTGATGAGTATAAAACATGAAGTTATTTATATTAAATTAAAGGTAGATATTCTCAATATACAGGAAGTAACATAAGTACTTCCAAGTGAAGTATTCCTGAGACAATTATAAGAAATAAAGTCTATATAAGGTTTTGTGTCCGGAAATGCTTCATTTCGTAGATACAGAGTGCTGAAATACAGAGAACAAATCATTTTTCGATAAACATTTGATAGGTAAAAAGTAGTTTATTTTGACGAGACCTACCGAATACTTGGTTTTGTAAAGTTCTCAACAACTCCACTTAGCGCCCTAGGAGCTAATAAGTAACATATGGATCGATATAGAAAATATCTCCAAAACATTAACCTCCAGCGTAATCAACACCCTTATTATAATTCCCTTGATACATAAATAACTATTCACTTTCCACTGTTGAATTTTAAATTTGGTCGGCACCAAAAACGCCATTCAATAATATATCACTCTGCAATAACTATTCACTTTCCACTGTTGAATTTTAAATTTGGTCGGCACCAAAAACGCCATTCAATAATATATCACTCTGTAGTTTACTTGCTTTTCTTAGTTTCGTTTTCAAATTCTCAATTTCATTATGTAATTTTGCGATCATTTCCTCTTTTCCATGATCATTTCGTTTCGTATTTTGTGTGATGATAATGATGGAATTTTCTTCTCGAAATCGCCTGCTTTGTAAATTGATGGAACAGCAGATTCTCATAAACAGATTTTGATATATTATTATTCTGTTTGAAGATGGGCCTAAAATATAGTTTCATTCTAATCAGATGCTGTTATCAAAAGTGAATTTTAATAAGTACCTCACAAATTTCGCTCGTCTTCAAATTGATTTTGCACCAATCAGGGCATTTCATATCTTCCTTCCATAAGCGAATGGTTGATATTTGTTTCGGAAAATTGAATAAATGATGTCCATTTTCTTCAGAATTGGCACAATTTATTACACAGCGAGTAATTTCCATAGCTGCTTTCATCTCGAATGTATAATTATGAAATTTCATTTCAATTCTGACGTTTATAAAATGTATTGTCAAATTCAAACAATGTTGAATGAAAATGCGCGGGACGACTATGGTGCTCTTGTCACAATGCAAGGTGTGAAACTTAATAAATCTAAACATTCAAAAACCCTAACCGTTGTCATTTCTGTGTCCGAACTCTTATCAAACTAATAACATCCAGTGACTCTACATAAAACGTACCGTACTGAACCTTAGAAAATATATCCTCCCAGGTAGCAGAGTGACGTCCAATTGACGTCATTTTTTGGTCATAAAATGACGAAGTGGACGTCCAAAAATGACGTCTGAGAGACCCTATTATGACGTCAAAATGTCACAGCCATATGACGTCATATTTAGACGTCATAATGACGTCGCAGAATGACCAATAAAGGACGAATTAAAAAAAATTAGGAGGTTTATATATATATATATATATTATATATTATATACGGTATTATTTGGTACATAATTACACCACAAACCTTTGATGACATTTTGTAACTATACGTTGTGGTCACTTGGTTGATGGTCCTCCCGGGCAGTCCTGTTGTATCCTAGCGCTATCACTACTACCTATGAATCTCTATCATGTCAATATCGTTAGCAACTCGTATTTGTACCTAAGATTATGTAGCGAGCGTCGGCGAGATGTAAGCTGAATAAACTCATTTTTAGCTAAACTATCCATTTCTAAGATATTCTCTGCAACAGGTCGATTTTATTTCCGATTAGCCAGATTTGAAAGTGAGAATCATATATATACAGGGTGATCCACGTTTAAGTTAAGACGTCCGCGGCAATTTTTTCAATCAGAAACAATAATAACCTATATAAGATACATTCAATTTTTGAAATATTCATGGAAATCTGAATTTAAAAATATATTACACATAGGGTTTGTATACAGTGTGTCCGTTAAATTGAGTGATCTCGCGTGAAGTGAATAAAGTAGCCAATCAATGAACTTACATCCATACAATTCCTTTCTGAGGAATCTCCCAAATTAGGTCTATTTTTATTTTTAATTAAGAACATTATTGAGAAAAAATTGAACATACAGGGTTATTCAAGTTTGAGTTACAACGTCCGCGACCATTTTTTCAAAGGAACACCCTATATATGAATTATTCGATTTTTGGAGTCTCTATGGAAAGCTGTATTCAAAAATATATGAGTTTGTATACAGTGCGTTCGTTGAATGAAGTTCTTTTGTGAAGTTGCGAATAAATTCGTTGAGAATTGAAAAAATATTTTTTTTGAGAGAATAACGTTCGAAGCCGTAGAATTTTATTTTCATTAAAATTTTATCTCATATTGAATCAATATATACAGAATGATTCGTGTAGGAGAAATTACGTCATCTTTATTTTTTATTGGCGATCCAATTTTACGAGAGAACTGATTTTAACGTACGCCCTGTATACAAACCCTTTGTGTGATATAAATTTGATTACGAAAATTCAATAATATATATCCGTTTGAAAAATGTGTCGTGTACGTCATAGTACCAACGTGCATCATCCTGTATATTTAAAGATTTCTCGTTATAAATGTGTCAAATTAAAAATAAAAGCCTCTCCTGTTTTCTCAGAAATATATAGAGTAGATAGATATTGGAAAATGAATGAATTTATTCACTACTTCACGAGAGCATCTAGTTTATTGGACGCATTTACCTATACAATCCACATGATTGTGTTGAACATTTTAGAATTCCGCTTCCCATGGTTATTCCAATGATAGAGTAATATATGGGGTGCTCTGTTTAAAAAAATTGTCGTGATGGTCATAACTCAAACGTGGATCACCATGTATGTATATTCTATTTTTCTCATAAATGTGGCAAATTGAAAATAAAAATCGACCGTTTTCAGCAGATTCCTCAAATATGCATAATTTGGCTGAAAATAAATTTGTTCATCAGTACTTACGAAAACACTGTATATTCAAACACAAATTTAGTACGATGAAAAGGTAAGAAAGCGACTGATTTTTCTTATTCGGTCGAATAACCGACTTTGTAGGGACGTCATTAAGACGTCCAATATTGAACGTCAATAAGACGTCATGAAATATGACGTCATTTTTTGGTCCCTCTGAAGTCGGGGACGTCATTGACCAATAATGACGTAAAAAATACGTCATTATGACGTCATTTCACTAACCTGTGCTACCTGGGCTCAATTGTACATTCATTCCATGTTAGGTTCATTGACGTTGATTTGGACTGGACGTCGTGTGCTATAGGGGGATTAATAGGTTGAAAATAGGGGCATTGGTAGTTATTCAAATAATTATACCAAATTTTGAATTTCGTTCAAAATAATTTTCCAAAATTGTTCGTAGCAGAGCGCTTTCGACTATATAGTCATCATCAGTGCTTACCTGCTAGTGAGTAATCAGCTTTTTGCTATTTGAAAAAATATTATTTATAAAAATATGTTTGTTGAACTCAAATTTGGAAATCAATTTAAGTTATTCGAGTTATATCTATTGAAAAAATTGCATCAGAAACTGAAAAATGTTGAATTTGTTGACGTGTTATTGATCAGTGGCAGAAAGAACTCTAGAATGAAGAGAGCAAACTTGAAGTTGACATCTGACATGACATACAAGGCATGACAAATGTCAGAGAAGTTGTCATGAAATCTTTATAATTGGAAAACATTTTCCTTTCCGTGAATGTAAACAATATGAGAAATTGAAAATGACTGAATTGATGAATAGAAAACCAAATCCCCAAGAAGCACTTGTGTTGGTCTGATGAGAACCTATCAGACAACAGAAAAGAATAGAATATGTGTGTAAAACTGCATTTATCATGCGATGTTTTTTTTTCGAAAAAATTTTTTGGTACTCACGTATTTTTGTCTGAACAACACAAATTTGATAATGAAAATGTGAACAATCCATTATTTATTGAGATATTTCAATACATAGTTATACACATTTCACCTTCTTTTCCGCCTGTCTTCTGGATCGCATTAAGAATAATTTGCCCTCCTTTTTCCATCATTGGACAATTTATGTATATCAGAATGTACGACACACTATTTTCTATTATATGAGTCAACTAGAAATATGATTCTTGTGATTTATCCATATTTAGTGGAAAGAAGGAAGAATATTATTCAAAATAATGGCGTGTGTAATGTCATTCAAAAGCAATCTATTGACATTTGACATCTCGTATTTGAATTGACTATTGATTAAATGGCCGTCATCTCTGGTATGCTTGTTCACTAAATATGAAAAACTTTCTATAAAAATCATATTTCCTGTTGAATTTTCTATATAAAAATGTGTCATTGAAGTACATCATGAGTATATGAAGTGTCCAATAACAAAATATGGAGAGCAAGTAGCTATAAATGCATCCAACACAAGGGGAAAAATAAGGCGGAATTTCTTGAAATATCTGGATAAATAGTGATTTGTTCACAATTTCATTATCAAATTCGTTTTTTTTTTCCAGATAAAAATACATAAGTACCAAAAAATATTTTCGAAAAAAAAAACCATCGCATGATAAATGCAGTTTTACCAATATATGTATATAGTTATGTCCAAGGAATTTTCCGACATTGGAATTTGTTCTAGGGCTCCTGTGCATGCTGGTTGTCCCTCGGAAAGCGGATCCAAATGGACGAAACGGGTTGGACCATCCTCAGAATACTGTCGCAACGCACAAACGACGAAGTGGCCAAAGAGTTCGTCAAGCTGAAATCAGATATCCGGCAAGAGAATCCCCTGCCCAATCAATAAGGACCCATTCCGCGATAGTGGCGCCCTTCGAGTGACTGTGGAGAACAGTTTTTGTATACATATTCTGTACGTGAAGTGTAAAAATAAATAGTTAAAGGACCGTCCTGACAGACTGATGTTGAAAATATTCCACGCATCATTACATTCTAATAATGATAATATCAATGTGCCTCCCAACTTGTACATTCAAACAATAATTTATCACGATTTTCAACCATGAACGTGTATCATCATCATCATCGGCATCGTAAAATAGTGAAATTGTAAAATATCGCAATAAAAGCATACTTTTTACATTTCTCTCATATTGTAACTTAAAATGTGATTCAACTAGTCTAAGACATATTGGATAGGTGAAAATTATATCATAGATATTTTTTATGATACATATTAGTTCGGAGGTTTGCCATAACGATTGTGCTTTTTGTGGTTACAAAAATTAGTCCTACTAATAGGGGTTGTTTCTTTGATACCAGGATCACAACCCTCAATTACTTTTGAATGAATAAGTTCCATCAATTTTTACTAAATAACGTGAGTGATTTCCAATAAGATCAGTTGTCAACTGGCATGGACGGGAATTTTGAGTATATACAGAGTGACACCCTTTATAAGCTCTACAGTTTTCAATCGATTCATGTTTTTTATTTCAGCAGAAAGTTCACGTTTACACGAATTCGGAAAATAATCCCAATTTTCAGGGCATGGTATTTTTCCCATGTTCAAAGTTGCGAAACATCATTAGCGATTTTTTTAAGAGGATTCTACTCCATCACTGGATTCAACATCTCAAATAGGTCAATCGCAAAATTCAATTGGGGACCTTGTTCCAAGTTGCCAACATAAGAGCCTCTACCGATTCAGAAGCAACATTATGGAAGTTTTATTAATCAAATAGTTTCATTTCGATGAAATCTGATTGTAGGAGTATACTCAGTTCACGAATAGAAATTATTCAGAAAAAAAAAAAATCAGTTTTTGTGAACTCCAGTTCTGATTAGTTGAAAATTATGTTGATGCACCTGCTTCCATTCAGAAATATGTCATATCGTCATCAATTTCATTATTTGTCAAATTTTTGTTACGTAGGCCCTATTTAAGATTATTTTATTTATGGAAAACACTATTATTTATCATTATTAGATAAAGAAGTTTGATCGTTGTGGTAGGAAGTAGGAATATATCTGAGTGCCAAGAATCGATCCGGGCATGACTTAGTAAAAATAAAATAATGAAGTTACAACCTTCTGAAATGAAAAATAACCCATGGAAGTATCTTTGAGTGGATGAAACTATAACTGTTTGGACACGAAGAAATCACAGTCGATATCATAAATGAAAATACTAACAGACCTATGTAATAATAAGCGTTTTCTTAGTCAAAAAATACCAATAGGGAAAAGTAATCGTTCAATAAGTACTTTCAGAGCTTACATGACTTGGATGAAAACTGGTCAAAGTTTCCAATGATAGAGAAACATATTATCACAAATGTCGGAATAGAACAATATCAAAATAAGATACCTTTATTCAAATAATTGGACACAGATAGTTTATTTGTAGCAGAAATCAAACTACCATTCGAATATCACAATAATATTTATTATATTATGATAAACAATATAAACATATTATATGGGTAGTGAGGAAATATAAATGAACAACAATGAATATAGAGATCTAATAACAATCTTATGTTGATTACCATTACGACGAGTCGAAAGTAGCATCAGACCAGATAACTTGGAACCCTCACATCCAGTTTATTAGCGCTTTGCACGTTTGTCATGATATTTTCTTGATCTTCATTCAAGAGTTCGAACGTGATTGGAACATTACATGATATACCATATTTTACTCGTGACACTACTGACACTATTGAAAGTATTGACATTTCAGTATTGACATATCGCAGATGCACCAACATGATTTTCAACCAGTCAGGTGGAGAGTTCACAAAAATCAACTTTTTCTGCAACCGACACAAAAGTCGTCCATTTAGTTCCTAGGAGCTAAAGTTGCATTTTAGTTCCTAGGAGCTAAAGTTGAACTTTAGCTCCTAGGAACTAAGAAGGATCTACTGGACGTCATCAAGAATGAACAACATTGTGACGGTTGGTTATTTGGGTTGAGAGGCATACCTGATTTGTTTCCGATTTCAGCAGATTTGGCATTTCATACCCATGCTGGAGATATAAATACACCTTATTAAAGTTTAGTATTGGAATTATAAACATCTCAGTTAAGTAATTTTGTTATGATCAGGGAAGCCTTCTAGATTCAAATACTTGCTTGATCTGTATTTCATTCGTTATTCTCGGGATGAATAACTTGTTTTTGGATAATCACGGCAAGCAATAGTTTTTTGTCTCAAACAACGATATTGTTAACCTTCATTTGTTTATCAAGCGACAAACATTGTATTACGGAGAGGAAAACATAATTGCTATGCTTAATATTCTTATTGTTGATGTGCTCACTATTAACCTAACATTTTCCAAGTCTTGTTTCTATAGCTGGCACTGACGCGGTATTTGCCATTAGAGCACCTGGTCCATACACAAATACGTCACTCTGTGATTGTATTTATATTGAAACTACAATTCGAACATCCTTGAAAATTGAATGAACCTGCTGTTGATGCAGGTAGAATGTTCTCACCACACGGATTATTTTTCAATATTTGTTGCATTGCATACATATGGCACGGTATTGGTGGTATCTTCACATATTTATTTGAGTTATTTGTTTCGGTTGCAGAAAAAATAGCATGTTTCATTCGGATCAAAAGTGATTTTGTTCGACTCGCAAATTTTGCTTTCGCTCGGCTTCGCTAAACGCTCCGCCTCGCAAATGCAAAATTCGCTTGTCAAACAAAGTGTCACTTTTGATCCTAATAAAACAATCTACTATTTTTTCTGAATAACTTTCATTAGAAAGCTGAGTAGACGGCTACAATCAAATTGCACCAAAATGAAGCTATTTGAGTATATTCAAACTTCCACAATATTGTTTCTACAGAGGTACAGGTTTTTTTAGGTTGGCAACTTGGAAGACGGAAGTCTCACATCGAAATATTCAAATATCAACACATTAATATTCGAAGAAAAAAAAGAATAACACCAAGTCAGTCGACCACAAAAATTTTATTACACAAAATGTAGTGTGACTAGTTTCGGCTCAAACAGCCTTCTTCATCTAGTCACAGTACATTTCGTGTAATATAATTCTTGTGGTCGACCGTTACCTCGACCCACTTGGTGTTATTCTGTTTTTTCTTTGAAAACAAATTTCTGAGGAGCTACAACAATGTCAATAAAATTGTTATAAAACATCGAAGTGTCTGGTAGATATTCAAATCCATAACAATAACAAAAATTATTATCGAGCTACGACATCTAGAATGGTAGGTACCCTACAGGAAACACCTTCCCCATAAATACCATTCCTGATGGTAAAATACCCAATCAATATTCTCCAATAGAATCTCATGATTACCTGATCTAATTGATGCATGTTGAATTCCGTGGTAAAGTAGAATTTTCTTTTAAAAAATTGCTAATGATATTTCGCAGTTTTCGACGAGGAAGAAAAACATAAGATGCTCCGAGAATTGGAATTATATATTCCAAATATGTGTGAACATAGAACTTTTAAACCAAATCAAACGATTGAAAACTGTTGATTCCATGAGGGTGCTTCGGTCTCAAGTCTTCAGTGGGTCACACTGTATACACAGATCTGGAAGAAATTTTCCGGCAAACAGGATTTTCAAAACGTTTCGAAGGAAGGTGTTGAAGCCAGTCAACCAGCACCAAATATAACAGATATACACTAAGTATTCAACTGGACTACTGTTTTCGTTGCCTGCTGCATATTCTGCAGATCGTTTGCTATATCCTCATCAACATTTCCAATTCCACTGAGCCTGCTGGAAAATGTTCTGAAGCGATGTGTTTCTTCAGAAGAAATAGAAAACACTTTCAACTTCGGAGAATTATAATAGGAACTCTTCAACGTTGAGAATATGATCACATACAGTGTGTCCCACTTACTATGCTCACCATGGGTATCTTTTTAACGGTGAGAGATACGAGGTCGGTTAAATGACACCAAATGTATAGTTTTTCAAGGCCAACTATAATGTGGAAAAATATTTTGATAAAATCTATTTGTTTTTGTTTTATACGCAAAAAACAGATTTTGATCATTTTCATGTCTCCTCCGTAACTTCTTCATTTACGAAAATATTCAAATAGGAATTTCACATTCTCATGACAGTTTCCCGAAGTGATTTAGAAAAAAATATGAAATTCATACCAACTCTTCCAGAATTTGAGATATCAGCACCAACTTTAGTTTTTCAAATGTAGCTCATAGCTCACTATGACTTAGTTAAAAATAACTCTTTTTCTCTTACAGATGACATGTCGCAGTTATAGTTTTGTGTTGATAACGAAGGAGTTATCGTCATTTATACAAAAACAAAAAATTATTTGGAAGCCGCCATCTTTATAATGTTTAACAAAAATATCATGATCTCCGACCTCAAAAACCCCCACTTACCAATTTTGAATGAAATCGGACCAAATCTTGTCCGCCATCTTGGAGCAGCAATTTTTTTTTATTTTAACAAAAATTTCACAATGTATCGTCACCGAAATTATGAACACCTGCCAAATTTCAAGTTAATCTGAATTTTTGTTGAAATAAAAAAAATGGCTGCTCCAAGATGGCGGACAAGATTTGGTCCGATTTCATTCAAAATTGGTAAGTGGGGGTTTTTGAGGTCGGAGATCATGATATTTTTGTTAAACATTATAAAGATGGCGGCTTCCAAATAATTTTTTGTTTTTGTATAAATGACGATAACTCCTTCGTTATCAACACAAAACTATAACTGCGACATGTCATCTGTAAGAGAAAAAAAGTTATTTTTAACTAAGTCATAGTGAGCTATGAGCTACATTTGAAAAACTTAAGTTGGTGCTGATATCTCAAATTCTAGAAGAGTTGGTATGAATTTCATATTTTTTTCTAAATCACTTTGAGAAACTGTCATGAGAATGTGAAATTCCTATTTGAATATTTTCATAAATGAAGAAGTTACGGAGGAGACATGAAAATGATCAAAATCTGTTTCTTGCGTATAAAACAAAGACGAATAGATTTTATCAAAATATTTTTTCACATTAAAGTTGGCCTTGACAAACTCCACATTTGGTGTCATTTAACCGACCTCGTATCTCTCACCGTTAAAAAGATACCCATGGTGAGCATGGTAAGTGGAACACACTGTATATGATCAATTGATTTCCACAAAATACTGTAAATAAAATAATCAACGTCATTATTATGTCTTCAACTATATTTTCTGAATCCTTGGTTTATATTATGATAAAAATTTACTTTGCATAAAACAACTTCTTGTGCTGAGTGTCATATATTTTTGTACCTCATAATGCACGATATTTATGGGAACCAATTAATTATAAAACCACAGTATA